CGACCAGCAAAATGTGAGCAGTCATGTAGGTCTCTTCATGAAATTCAATTTCAATAACAAAAACATACAATAGCATCAAGTAAACTATGTCCTAAATGATACAAGCTGGGAAGATATCCTAAACAATACGGATCCGAACATCTGCCTAGAAAAAATGAATTCTGTGGTTCTTTAGATCTGTTCAAGACACTTTCCATTAAGAAAAAAAGAGAGAAGATGTAAATTAGAAAGAGAGAGATGTTCCCTATACAGACGAAGGCAAAGAGTCACAGAGCTGGTGAGTGGGGTCAATATATCTGAAATACAAAGGTAAGCACTAGACAATGAAATTGGAAATATCAAACTTAAGCTGAAGGAATCTTATAGGAGACAATAATCACAGGAAGAACTAAAAGCCATAAAGGAAACTGAAAAAAAAATACTTCTCTTATGCCAAATCTGAGGGAAAAACAACATCCAGTATTGGGCCCCTGCTTGGGCGGGGTAGGACATACACAGATGATAGCCAAGAAATGAGTGAGATACTAAAGTCCCAATTATGACTCAGTGTTCAGCAATCCACTCCCCACTCTAAGGGTCGATAATCCAAATGAATTCTGTATGAACGAAACCCAAAATTTGGTCACCCCAAAACTCTAGGATATTATTCTAACTCCACAAGATTTTGAAAAGGCAATTAATGACATGCCCATGCACTCTACCCCAGGCCCAGACTCACGGAACTCCATGTTCATCAAGAATTGCAAGAAGACCCTGTCGCGTGCCTTCAGCATTTTATAGAGAGGGAGCATGGACACAGGAGTCATCCCACACACACTAAAAACAACAGACCTAGCCCCTCTCCACAAAGGTGGCAGTAAAGGAATTGCAAAGAACTACAGACCGATAGCACTAACATCCGATATCATAAAAATCTTTGAGAGGGTTCTAAGAAATAAGATAGCCAACAACCTAGATACCCATCAATTACACAACCCAGGGCAACACAGGTTTAGAGCAGGTCGCTCCTGCCTGTCCCAACTACTGGACCACTATGAGAAGGTTCTGGATGATGAAGAGGATAAACAAAATACAGATGTAGTATACACAGACTTTGCAAAAGCTTTCAACACATGTGACTATGGTGTAATAGCACACAAAATGTGGGATAAAGGAATAACAGGAAAAGTTGGTAGATGGATCTACAACTTCCTGACAAATAGAACACAAAGAGTAATAGTTAACAGACTAATGTCCCAGGCAGCCATGGTAGAAAGTTCTGTTCCAAAAGGGCACAGAACTCACTCCTATTCTATTCCTCATCCCCATATCTGACATAGACAGAGATGTAAGCCATAGTTCCGTGTCTTCCTTTGTGGATGACACTCAGATCACTATGACATTGACCTCCATCAAAGACTGTGAGGGAAAAGTTCAGTAGATAGGAGTAGCGAGGGAGAATATAGTAACAATAGTTTCATTTGCCGGCTACTTGTTAAGGTAGGGTAAGTCAAGCTCCCGCTATCCCCGCCTTTTTTTCCCCTCTCGAAAGTGATAGTTTGCTTGCCGGCTACTTGTTAAGGTAAGGCAAGTCTAGCTCTCGCTATTCCCGCCTTTTTTCCCCCACCCCGAAAGTGATAGTTTGATTGCCGGGCTGCTTGTTAAGGTAGGGTCAGTCTAGTCCTGCTATCCTTCCCCTCCTTCTGCCCCCCTCCCTGAAAGATGACGTGTGGGGCCCCGATCCAAACAGTAATCACTGACTCACTGCTCCCAGCACTACTGTAAGTACATGCCTGCCTTGTATTCTAGTGGATTTATTGGTTGAAAGCTTCACTTTTGACCAATAATAAACTTAGTCCTTTCAGTCTTGCTCTAAGTTGACTGTTGTAATAATCACCACATCTTTTAGGTATTGTACTTATCATGGAGAGTGATTTCTTAAGCAGTGGGTAACCTGTCTATCTTTCCAGCTTGGATGACAGAGAGGGTCACCTGCCAATCAACGAGTAGAATTGATGGAGATGGACTAACGTCCTGAGACTTCCCCTTTTAGGATTTAATTACCTGGGCACCTGTATGAAATTGCAGGACGTAACCCCTCATCATTGCAGCGGTAAAGAACCTGCTTTCCTGTCATCGGGATAGAATACTCACGGCTATACTGTGAAGAACGAACAGGTGGGTTGTAACCAACACCTGCGACCCCCCCCCGCATCATCAGCAACTGCTACAATTTCAACAACACTCAGTGTCACCTACACAAGACATCCATATATATATTAGCGTTGAGTTCAAATGTTATTTTATTCATTTCATTTTTCATTTTTCTTTCAAATAGTATATACCTTTCATGTTTTATTGTTTTAAGTTTGCTTTAATAAATAATAAAGTGTTTATCTTTGTGAATTATTATTTCTTTTTCCATTCATTAATTTTTCCTGAGGATTAGCCAGCCTTGGTAATACTGTCTCAAGTTGTTACAGGGCTGAGTAAGCCTTCACAAAGACACTGCAAGACTCCAATCAGACATCAACCAAGTCTTCGAATGGGCCACTTCAAACAATATGAAGTTCAATGAGGAGAAATTTCAACTACTCAGATATGGAAAACTTGAAGAAATTAAAAATGTGTCAGGGTATACCACAAATTCTAACCATACAATAGAGTGGAAAAGTAATGTGAAGAACCTGGGAGTGATAATGTCAGAGAATCTCGCCTTCAAAGACCACAACAATGTATCTACCTCATCCACTTGGAAAATGATAAGATGGATAATGAGAACCTTCAAAACTAGGGATGCCAAGCCCATGATGATTCCCTTCGAATTGCTTGTGCTCTCTAGGCTAGAATACTGCTGTACACTAATGACCTCCTTCAAGGCTGGCGACGTTGCAGACCTGGAAAGTGTACAAAGAACTTTCATGGCACACATAAGTGTGATAAGGCCCCTAAACTCTTGGGAACGGTTGAAGGTTCTTGGTCTGTATTCTCTAGAATGCAGGCGAGAGAGATACATGATAATATGCACTTGGAAGGTCCTGGAGGGATTGGTACCAAACCTACACACAAAAATCACTTTATATGAAAGCAAAAGACTCGGCAGTAAATGCAACATTCCCTCGATGAAAAGCAGCGGCTCCACGAGTACACTGAGAGACAACATAATAAGTGTCCGGGGCCCAAGGCTCTTCAATTGCCTCCCAGCATACATAAGGGGGATTTCCAATAGACCCATGGCTGTCTTCAAGAAGGCACTGGACAGGCACCTAAAGGAGGATTTAGAGCCTGCTCAGCGCGAATGAAAAATTTTGTCGAAAAATTCACAAATTGAGTTAATCTTATAGAAAAATAGCTTAACTCTCTGGTAACACAATGGTACAAGAATCATTGTTCTACGACATTCCTACAAGGAATTATGGTCATTTAAAACACCTAGAATGACTTCACCACCCGCGGCAGGTGTGCTCACCTGTCGTCAATTTTCTTTTTTTTCCGTTTTTTTTCGTGTATTTATTGTATTATTCTTTCTAAGATAATAATTGACGATTTAGCATCAAAATACAGCGGGTGGGACTTATACGTAGAGTTCCAACCAACCAGGAACCTTCTGGCACCATTTTGCTGACGTCATGGAAAATTCCAGTCTCGTGGTGGCCGGGGAATATGCTTCAATATAACGCTATTATAGCTTCTACGGCTTATTTATCTATCACAATTGATCTAATATGACATAATAAACAATATATATGACAAAGAAATATGGTAAATACTCCAGAATGAATAATATATGGCATATTCCCAGAGCATTCCCTCGGGAATATAAGATTCCCATAGTCAGGGACGGGCTTCCATTCTCCTTCTTTCACCTCCAGGCTCCTTATATTAAAGAAAACGAACATGGGTAACTATGATATACACTCGTAATGCTGAGAAAAATGCTATTTTCTCGAAAAAAAAATCGGTGGTCCGGCTGTTTCGCGGATTATCTCGGAAGTAAGTTATTCATATGTATAAGACAGAATTTTCGTTAATAATAGCAGGAATGTAATGACATTCACAGAGAACATAAAGGAAAGATTGTTTTACAAGCTAATGGTTTGCTTTTTGAGATATCATAATTTATTTTTTGATTTTTGTGAGGGCAAAAGTCAGATATTTGGCTGAATATCAAAACCATACAAACTTTATTTTTTTTAAGAATGAAGAAAGGATAAATTACAGTTTTTACAATTGTTATAAATAGAGTTTAGCATTGTTTTATTCGTAGATAATGCCAAGACAGCTTCTCCAAGTCCCATTACGAAAATACTGTTCAATATGTATGATTATTAGTAAATATTTTTTTTCTCAGTTGTTTTTTGAGCTATCTTATTGAAACTTAGTCACGTTACTATTGAAAGGTGCTTCTTTACGTACAAAAAAAATGAAAGAAATCGAACGAAAAATAAAAAAGTTCAGGTGCTACCGTAGGATATACTCCTAAAGTCAGTACATGAACAACCGAGCTGTGGTTCGTAGGTCAACTTGTGTGCGGCTAGCAGTAATAGCCTGGTTGATTAGACCCTGATCCACAATGAGGCCTGGTCTCAGACTGGGCCGCGGGTGTGTTGACCCCAATAAACCCTCTCCAGGTAAACTACAGGTATGCTAACTTTTTCTTCCATACTACTCTCTTTACATCATCATTCCACCAATCGTCCTTCTTCCCTCCAGTTGCACCCACTTCTTCCCACCCACTGTACCCACCTCTTCCCTCCCTCTGCACCAACTTCTTCCATCCAGCTGCACCCACTTCTTCCCTCCTGCTGCACCAACATCTTCCCTCCCACTGCACCCACTTCTTCCCTCCCACTGCACCCACTTTCCTGTAACCACAAACATCTGCTGAATACTATATTCTTAAACTTACCCCATACATCTTCTACCCCATTGCCTAATTGACGACTTGTCTAGGAATTTAAAATGATAGATTATAGAGGTATGGATGTTTGTGGGAAACAATCAGGCTGCAGCATCAGGGATAAAAACAGCAGTTATTACCGGGATACTTCAGGGATATGTTTAAAAGACAATATTCAAAATATAGTTGCTAGTAATGGCAAATCAATTGATCAACAAACAAATAGAGATAGCAGAGGACAACGAGTGAATAGCTCCCTTAAGGTTTACTATACAAATACTAGGAGTCTAAGAAATAAGATAGATGAGCTAAGATTACTTGCAAGTGTAGGTAATATAGATATTATTTGCATAACAGAGACCTGGTTTAACCTGAAAGATAGAGAAAGGCTTTCTGATTGCAACATACAGGGTTATAAACTATTCCACACTGATAGGGTCAACAGGAAGGGTGGTGGAGTGGCTATGTACATCAGAGGAAATTTAAATTGTTGTCTTAGTCATGATATAAGATTAGAAACATCAAACACAGAATCTGTTTGGCTACAGTTTCTCGAGGGACGTGACAAATTAATTTTGGGTTTGATTTATAGGCCCCCAAACCTTGACAAGGAGTGCAGTAAGCTGTTATGGGACGAAATTCATAAGGCATCTAGATTTGAAAATGTTGTGGTAATGCGAGATTTTAACTTTAGACAAATTGATTGGAACAATATGACAGGAAATCTTTAGTCTAGTGACTTTCTTGATATGGTTCAGGATTGCTTGTCAGAACAGGTTGTGACAGAACCAACTAGACTTGGTTCTTGCCAACAAAGATTCACCTATTAATAATCTTGATGTTAACCCTTCAGGGGGCAAGGCAGATTAAAAGTGAATTTGAAAGTGATTTTCTATGATGGGATAGAGCCGCTTGATGTAAGGTCACTGAGGCCATCTGAAGGGAGTTGTAAAAGTTACATGTTAAGCAACTGCAGATATTCGAAGACCGAGTAAACTCGGTCCTGCCAGTTAGGGGTATAACAATTTAAAATGTTGCAAGGTTGCAATTGTTAAAAAATAAAAATTAATTTATTATACAAGTAGACAATATAAAAAACATAAATGGAACTTGTTTCTGAACAATTTGTAATCATTAAAAAAATAGAAATAGGAACTACTTTTAAACAATGACACATTGTAATGGGATGCAACTTACAAATGAAATATTCCTGAGTTCCCTGAGAAAGAACAATTATTTTACATCACTAATTTCTCAAATGAAACATTATGAAACAATTTCTATCCTTCTTTATGCATAGATTTACTTTACATATGGCAGAGCAAAATGAGGATGTGACGTGAATATTCTTTTTGCTGCAAAACTTGCATGAAAGCAGCTAACCTAGCACTGGCCAGTGACCTAGCTGTTCATCGAACCTCACACTGTCATCTGGCTATGCTGCACATTGGAACTGAAATGCAGATGGGTATTCCACGTTTGACAATTCATTACTACTGTCAACCAAAGTAGTACTGGGTGAATCTCTTTGCTGGTGCGGTTGGACTTTTGTCCTTTGGATCTTGAAGAGATGTCAAGCCTGAACAGCTTCAGTGGCTTGCATGGCAGGTTTAGTGACCGACAATCACGACAGTAAAGAAGCCATGCATTCACAACTGCAAGATCCAGAACATAAGCAAACAGCCACATGTACCAGCACTTTCATTTCATTGGTGTTTTGTGAAGATGGACCAACATGTTACTTTTGTCAATACCTCCCATGTGAGCATTGTAGTTCTTGATGATGCCTGGGCACTCAAAGTGACCTTTCTTCTTTGATACCTTGTCATATCTTTCAACAAGACTCAAAGGATAAACTCCCAAATCATTTGTGACTAGAGTCACAACTTTGTTGTCCTTCCATCTTACAAGAAGGATATCATCATTGCTTTGGAATTCAAAATTGCCCCTGGCCACATTGCTCCTTTCCATTTGTTTCACAGGTATCAGTTGTGGCTTACTACATCTGTTATCACGTACTGTTCCAGCATACCTGCAATTATACTTGTCTTTCAGTACCTTGACCAAAGGTAGACTTGAAAAGAAATTATCAGCATAGACTGCTGATGTTTTTCTTTGGTCGAGAGATGCTGCAAGTACAAGAACAATCTTGGAACTCATTGGGAGTTTACTTTCTTCATTTGGCAGCTTTATGTGATGGTTCTCAAAAGTTGGGTTACCTTTATACATGAGTATATCATGTATGATTCCATCTTCACTTGCACGACAGAAGAGTTTGAAACCCCACTTGTCTAGTTTGTTTTTGATGTATTGCCTTAGGTTTCCAGCTGTTTTACCCTTAACAGCAACCATAACTTCATCAACAGACTGCTTGGGTGTAGCTGGAACATTCAAGCAAGCTTTAGTTAGTGCATTGTAAAGAGGCCTTATTTTGATGAATCTGTCATTACCCTTTTTTTTTGTGTTATCATTGAAATGAATGGTACGCCTCAGCAACATAAACCTCTTTGATTCCATGACTTCTGCAACTTGAATTACCTTACTTGCAGTTCCCCAAATAGTCTTCAATGGATGGCTGTACAGTGTAACCCATATACAACAGAATACCTATGAACCTAGTTATTTCCTCAGAATTTGTTTCAAAATTAGTATGTATGTTTTTTTTTTTTTTTTTGCAGGGCATACAAATTAGTTTGAAATGCAATGTTGTCTATCATGTCTTGAGTAAAAAAGTCTGTAAAATAATCATATGCACACCTAACTCCAATAGGCTTTACATGTTGATATGCAGGCAAAGAGTCAGTCTGTATGTCCTCATCTTTCCATTGGGTGTCTCCTTGAGAAGCAAGATCATCTTGAAGCTCTTCTTCATCAGGGTACTCCTCCACAGTAATACATTTCTTCTTCGTGTTCAATTACTGATTTTTTGTTGGTGGCCCAGCTACCTTCTCAACTGTTGACACCTCTGCATCTGGTGGCAAGTATTCATCATCAGTATCCACCACTTCCAGGTCATCTGGGTCATGATCTGAGTCACTATCGTCCCAAACACAGACAAATTTTGACTTAGCCTTGGAGGACTCACCGTAGAACAATTTCTGATTGATCTGGAAGGACAATAAAAACGTTCTGTACACACCCAGATCATTACTGAATTCATATATACACTACCAAATTTTATGGAAATATTTATATACCGAAACCATCCGCATCGGTGTTTCCCTTCGACTTGCCGCCCCTATTCTCGCCGAACACAGGTGTATTTGTGGCAGTGAAGCAGCAGACCGATTCGGGTACCATGGTCTTGTGTGCCGTAAATCCGAGGGAAAGATTGCAAGACATGAGGAGGTTAATAACATTATCAAGAGGAGCCTCACAGCAGCTGGATGCCCAGCAGTAAGGGAGCCACCCCAGCTATGCAGATCTGATGGCAGCCAGAAGCGTCCAGATGGTATTACCCTTCAAGCCTGGACAGATGGGAAGCAGGTGGTGTGGGACTATACATGTCCATCTACCTTGGCTGATACCTATCTCCAGTACACCAGGGAGGAAGGAGGGGCAGCTGCCAGCTTCAGGGAGTCCCAAAAGTCTAGAAAATATGGAGAACTTGCCCATCATTATATGTTTGTTCCCATAGGCTCAGAGACCCTTGGCTCATGGGGAAAGAGTGCATCTAATTTCCTTAAGGAGCTGGGAAAAAGACTCATCAGGGTAACTAGGGATCCCAGGGCAGCTAGTTTTCTGTTCCAGCGGCTCAGTGCGGCTGTTCAAAGGGGTAATGCCTGCTGTATTTTGGGCACACGCCCCAGCTCTGAGGAGCTGGATGAGATTTTCGCCTTATAATCGGTGATACACACGTAACAACATGTACCATATATGCCACCTTTATATTAACAATGTATCTCTTAAATCTTATATATATATATATATATATATATATATATATATATATATATATATATATATATATATATATATATATATATATATATATATGCATACATATATATATATATATATATATATATATATATATATATATATATATATATATATAATATATATATATATATATATATATATATATGTCGTGCCGAATAGGCAGAACTTGCGATCTTGGCTTAAATAGCAACGATCATCTTGCCATATAGGACAAGTGAAAATTTGTGTATGCAATAATTTCGCCAAAATCATTCTGAACCTAACGAAAAAAATATATTTCACTGTGTTTGATTAGTATTAAATTATTGTAAACAAATCTAAAATATATTTAGTTGGGTTAGGCTAAAATAAATTGAGATTGTTATAATAAGGTTAGGTAAGTTTTCTAAGTTCCTTTTGGTGCAAAATTATAAATTTTTACATCAACATTAATGAAAAAAATATATCTTTAAACGTATACGAGAAAATTTTAGAAAGAACTTAATTTTAAATGAGTTCTTGCTAATTGACCAGTTTTACATATTCGGCACGACATATATATATATATATATTTATATATCAAAATATAGCTAAACTTCATTTATGCACTAGACACACAAATCAGTACTTACCGACATTGTAGAGGGTGAAATGCTTGAGTATATAAGGAGCACTCAACAAAAAAACATGAGTATGGGCAACGCCAAGCTAGAAGCGTTTACATTCTTCTCTCTCTACCAATGGGAAGCGCTTAGCTGGAGCGACTCTGGGAAGGCTTGTGATTGGTCAGAAATCGAGAATGGGAACCCAGGTGCACAGGGGAAGTAGGAGGACATGTGCAAAAACCACGCTCTCAGGATCGAATACACTCGGCCCTGCATGGCGAAAGTGATCACAAATAACTTAGTTTCAATATATCATGGAATTACCCAGATAACTGCAATCGAATCTCTGTCCCAGATTTTCACTTGGCCGAATTCATGGGACTGAAAAATTACCTGGATGGGCTAAATTGGGATGTGCTGACTATGGGTCAGGTAGGTGAGCTTGGTTGCCAATATGACGTTTTTCAGAGCATAGTTCTAGCTGCCCAGACAACTTTTGTTCCGAGTAGGGAAATTAGATTTAACAAAAATGATCCCAAATAGATGAACAATAGATTAAAACATCTCATTAGTCAAAACAGAGGCATATATAGGTGTATCAAAAGAAGGGATTGGCTGTTAAGAAATCAATATATTCAATTAAAGAGAGAAATAAAGAAAGGAATAAGAAAAGCAAAAAGGGATTATGAGGCTATGGTCGCAAGGGATTCGAAGACTAACCCAAAAGGGTCCTTTCAGGTTTACAGAAGTAAGATTAGCGACAAAATTGGCCCACTTAAGAGTAACTCTGGTCAGATCACTGACATTGATAAGGATATGTATGAAATTCTCAATACCTACTTCCTCTCAGTTTTCACCCAGGGAAATACTAGCGATATTCCTGAAATAATAGATTATGTAGAACAGGACGATAATAAACTATGCATGATTGTGGTAACTAGTGACATGGTCCTCAGACAAATAGAGAAACTAAAACCTAACAAATCCCCAGACCCTGAAGAACTGTTTGCAAGGGTGTTAAAGGAATGTAAAGAGGAACTTAGCATATCACTACAAACTGGCATACTGCCTGATAAGTGGAAAATGGCAAATGTAATACCTATTTCCAAGGCAGGTGACAGGTCCTTGGCTTCTAACTATAGACCAATAAGCCTTAACTCTGTAGTAGGAAAATTTATGGAATCAATATCTGCCGAAGCAATTTGTAGCCATCTTGATAGGCACAGATTGATTAATGAATCTCAAACCGGTTTTACAAACGGTCGTTCCTGTCTTAGGTATTTACTAATTTTTTTCACTAAGGTGTTTGAGGAGGAAGATCATGGTAATGAATATGATATTGTGTATATGCACTTCAGTAAGGCTTTCGATAGAGTTCCACACCAGAAGCTATTGAGGAAACTTAAGGCACATGCAATAGGAGAAATTTTTTCCTGGGTAGAGGCATGGCTGACAAATAGGCAGCAGAGAGTTTGCATAAATGTGGAGAAATCAGAATGGGGGCACGTCACAAGCTGTGTTCCTCAGGGGTCTGTGTCTGTGTTTACATAAACTACATAGATGAGGGAATAAATAGCGATATAAACAAATTTGCTGATGCCACCAAAATAGGCTGTCCAATTCATTCTAATGAGGACACTAGAGCACTCCAGGATGATTTGAATAGACTGATGCAATGGTCAGAGAAGTGGCAAATGCAGTTTAATAATGACAAATGCAAAGTTCTAAATGTTGGACAGGTAAATAACCATGCCACATATAAACTAAATAATGTAGATCTTAATACTACTGATTGCGAAAAGGACTTAGAAGTTCTGCTTAGCAGTAAACTAAAACCAAGACAACAGTGCATTAGTGTTCGCAATAAAGCTAACAGAATTCTTGGCTTCATATGTAGAAGTATAAATAATAGAAGTCCCCATGTTGTTCTTCAACTCTGTATATCCTTGGTTAGGCCTCATTTAGACTATGCTGCTCAGTTCTGGTCACCGTATTACAGAATGGATATAAATGCTCTTCAAAACGTACAGAGGAGGATGACAAAGATGATCCCATGTATCAGAAATCTTCCCTATGACGATAGACTGTGGGCCCTGAATCTGCACTCTCTCGAAAGGCATAGAATTAGGGGGGATATGATCAAGGTGTATAAATGGAAAACAGGAATTAATGAAGGGGATGTAAGTAGCATGCTGAAAATTTCCAGCCAAGACAGGACTCAGAGCAATGGTTTCAAGTTGGAAAAATTCAGATTCAGGAAGGATATAGGAAAGCACTGGTTTGGTAGAAGAGTTATGGATGAGTGGAACAAACTCCCGAGTACAGTTATTGAGGCTAAAACGTGTAGTTTTAAAAATAGGTTAGATAAATACATGAGGGGGAGTGGGTTGGTGTGAGTTGGACCTGACTAGCTTGTGCTGCTGGGTCTGGTACCATGCTCCTTCCTTGAGTGGAGGTGACCGGACTGGGTGGGTCATTGGGCTAATCCGGGGGGGGATCATTGGGCTATTCTGTGGGGGGGACATGGACCTGCTCCACATGGGTTAATAGGCCTGTTTCAGTGTTCCTTCTTTCTTATGTTCTTATGTTTTTTTACTCACACTAGGACATCTGTCTTGTAACAGTTGTATATCATACCCTAACTGCCTCATCCTTTAGTTTATATGCCTTCACCTCTCTCTTACTTGCTGCTTCCATTTTCCTCATTGTATCTAGAACTAGAGAGTGATCTGATATACCTCTGGCCCCTCTATAAACATGTTCTTCCTGAAGTCTACTCAACAGTCTTTTATCTACCAATACGTAGTCCAACAAACTACTGTCAGTACGCCCTTTCTATACAAACTTCAGTGAAATGCTCCCCATTATCATTTACACCTGACACCCCAAATTTACCTACCGCACCCTGTCTAAACGCTTCTCATTTAGTTCCTCTACCACAATTACTCTCTCACTTGGCTCAAATGTTCCTACACACTCGCTTAACATCTCTCCAAATCTTTCTCTCTCCTCTACACTCCTCTCTTCTCCAGGTGCATACACACTTATTATGACACACTTCTCACATCCGACCTTTATTGTAATCCACATAATTCTTGAATTTATACATTTATATTCCCTCTTCTCACTACATAACTGATCCTTCAACAATATTGCTAACCCTTCCTTAACTCTAACTCTCTCAGGTACGTCTGACTTAATCTCATTTATTTCTCCCCACTGAAACTCCCTTACCCACTTCAGCTTTGAATAACTTAGGGCCAGGATCTCCAACTTCTTTTCATGCATAACATAAGCAATAAATTCTTTCGTATCTTCCACAGAACGTTCGCGCACATTCAAACATCCTAATTTTATAAAAGTAAAATAAAATTTACGAGAAAAATCTAACATTAGTACATCCTTCGACAGTTTCAAGTTGTCTTCCTCGCTGCTTCCTTTTTATGAGTCGGAGAATTTGGATGTACCTAAATAAGGTAAACATAATTTAAGTAAAAACTACTAATCTAACTTCATTGATGACTCACTGTGCTTTCTCGAGGGACGAAATACTTATTAAGCAAAGTCATCACGTCGTCTAGATCAGCTGGGCCCAGCACCACGTACTTCAGCGCAGGAACCTCGCTCATCCTGACTAAGTGCCTTCTGTGCCCTGTGTGTGAGATATTTAAAATAATTATCACTGCAATTGGTTGACATTCTACAAGATTGATGGAAAGAACACATCGATTCCAGGCTGAGGGGCTGATTATCTCAAACTCCTCCTCTCCTTACGCCTCTCTACTCTGTACATCATGATGAAGCCACACTGTGTCGAAACGTTTCCTTAATAAAGATTCCCATATGTTGCATAAGTGTCTCAATCGTCAACTTGTCGGTTTTTCAAACCATTCATCACAGTACTGTGAGTGTTGGACACTGCTTTACAAAGCAGGGTACTGTGACTGCTGGACGCAGCTCTCTCAACCAGTGCACTGTGAGTGTTGTACGCTGCTCTATCAACCAGGCTACTGTGACTGTTGGAAGACGCCCTCTGAACCAGAGTGCTGTGAATGCTAGACGCTGCTCTATCAACCAGTGTACTGTGGCTACTGGACGCTGCTCTCTCAACCAGAGTAATGTGGGTGCTGAACGCTGCTCTACCAACCAGGGTACTGTGACTGCTGGACGCTGCTCTATCAACCAGAGTACTGTGAGTGCTTGACGTTGCTCTATCATCAACGGTACTGTGACTGCTGGACGCTGCTCTCACAAACACAGTACTGTGAGTGCTGGAAAATGCTATATCAACCAGGGTACTGTGACTGCTGGACGCTCCTCTCTCAAACAGAGAACTGTGAGTGATGGATGCTGCTCTATTAACCAGGGTATTGTGACTGCTGGACGCTGCTAACTCAACCAAAGCACTGTGAGTGCCGGACGCTCCTCTATCAACCAGGGTACTCTGACTGCTGGGCGCTGCTCTATCAAATAGAGTATTTTGAGTGCTGGATGCTGCTCTGTCAACTAGGGTACTGTGACTGCTGGAGGCTGCTCACTCAACCAGAGTAATGTGGGTGCTGGATGCTGCTCTATCAACTAGGGTACTGTGACTGCTGGACGCTGCTCTCTCAACCAGAGTAATGTGGGTGCTGGACGTTGCTCTATCAACCAGGGAACTGTGACTGCTGGACGCTGCTATCTCAAGCAGAGTATTCTGAGTGCTTAACGCTGCTCTATCAACCGGAGTACTGTGATTGCTGGATGTTACTCTATCAACCAGGGTACTGTGACTGCTGGATGCTGCTCTCTCAAGCAGAGTACTCTGAGTGCTTAACGCTGCTCTATCAACCAGAGTACTGTGATTGCTTGACGCAGCTCTCTCAACCAGAGAACTGCGAGTGCTGGACGCGGCTCTGTCAACAAGGGTACTGTGACTGCTGGATGCTGCTCTCTCAACTAGTGTACTGTGACTGCTGGACGATACTCACTCAGTGAGAGTACGGTGAGTGTTGGATGCTGCTCTATCAAGCAGGGTTTTGTGACTGCTTGACGTTGCTTTCTCAACCAGAGTACTCTGAGTGATTGACGCTGCTCTATCATCCAGGGAACTGTGACCGCTGGACTCCACTCTCTCAATAAGAGTACTGAGTATGGGAGCTGCTGTATCAAGCAGGATACTGTAACTGCTGGACGCTGCTCTCTCAACCAGAGTACTGTGAGTTCTGGACGATGCTCTCTCAACCAGAGTTTGGTGAGTGCTGGACGCTGCTCTATCAACTAGGGTACTGTGACTGCTGGACGATGATCTCTCAAGCAGAGAACTGTGAGTGCTCGACGCTGTTCTATGAAATAGAGTACTTTGATTGCTGTACACTGCTCTCTCAACCAGAGTATTGCGAGTGCTGGACGCTGCTCTCTCGACAAGAGTACTGTGACTGCTAAACGCTGCTCTCTCAACCAGGGTACTATGAGTGTTGGACGCTGCTCTATCAACCAGGGTACTGTGAGTACTGGTCGCTGCTCTATCAACCAGGGTACTGTGACTTCTGGACGATGCTCTCTCAACCAGAGTTTGGTGAGTGCTGGACGCTGCTCTATCAACTAGGGTACTGTGACTGCTGGACGATGATCTCTCAAGCAGAGAACTGTGAGTGTTCGACGCTGCTCTGTGAAATAGAGTACTGTGATTGCTGTACACTGCTCTCTCAACCAGAGTATTGCGAGTGCTAGACGCTGCTCTCTCGACAAGAGTACTGTGACTGCTAAACGCTGCTCTCTCAACCAGGGTACTATGAGTGCTGGACGCTGCTCTATCAACCAGGGTACTGTGAGTACTGGTCGCTGCTCTATCAAGCAGGGTACTATGACTGCTGGACGCTGCTCTATCAACTAGAGAACTGTGAGTGCTGGACGCGGCTCTATCAACAATGGTGCTGCGAATCCTGGACGCTTCTTTCTCAAACAGAGTACTGTGAGTGCTGGACGTTGCTCTTTCAACAAGGTACTGTGAGTGCTGGACGCTGCTTTCTCATCCAGAGTAATGCACGTGCTTGACGCTGCTCTGTCAACCAGGTACTGTGAATGCTGGACGCTGCTCTCTCATCCAGAGTACTGTACGTGCGGGGCGCTGTTCTATCAACCAGGTACTGTGAATGCTGGACGCTGCTTTTTCATAAAGAGTACTGCTCGTTCTGGACGATGCTCTTTCATCCAGGTGCTGTGAGTGATGGATGATGCTCTCTTAACAACAGTACTGTGAAAGCTAGACGCTTCTCTGTTAACCAGGGTACTCTGACTGCTGGAAGCTCCGCTCTCAACCAGGGTACTGTGACTGGTGGACGCTGCTTTATCAAGCAGGGTACTGTGACTGCTGGACGCTGCTCTCTCAACCAGGGTACTGAGACTGCTGGACGTTGCTCTCTCAACCAGAGTACTGTGAGTGTTGGACGCTGCTTTATCAAACAGGGTACTGTGACTGCTGGACGCTGCTCTCTCAACCAGAGTACTGTTGGAGCTCGACGCTGCTTTATCAAGCAGGGTACTGTGACTGCTGAACGCTGCTCTCTCAACTAGAGTACTCTGAGTGCTGGACTCTACACTATCAACCAGGGTACTGTAACTGCTTGAGCTGCTCTCTCAAGAAGAGTACTGTGAGTTGACGATTGAGACACTTATGCAACATGGGAATCTTTATTAAGGAAACGTTTCGCCACAAAGTGGCTTCATGAGTACAAAGTAGAAAGGCGTAAAGAGAGGAGGAGTTTGAGGAAATCAGTCCCTCAGCCTGGAGTCGATGTGTTCAGTCAATTAATCTTGTAGAATGTGACATTCTACAAGATTTATGGAAAGAACACATCGACTCCAGGCTGATGGACTGATTATCTCAAACTACTCCTCTCCTTACGCCTTTCTACTTTGTACTCATGAAGCCACTGTGTGGCGAAACTTTTCCTTAATAAAGATTCCCATATGTTACATAAGTGTCTCAATCGTCAACTTGTCGGTTTTTCAAACCATTCATCACAGTACTGTGAGTGCTGGACGCTGCTTTATAAAGCAAGGTACAGTGACTGCTGGACGCTGCTCTCTCAACCAGTACACTGTGAGTGTTGTACGGTGCTCTATCAACCAGGGTACTGTAACTGTTGGAATGTGCTCTATCAACCAGAGTACTGTGAGTGTTGGACGACGCTCTAACAACCAGGGTACTGTGACTGCTGGACGCTGCTCTCTCAACCAGAGAGGTGTGAGTGCTGGATCCTGCTCTACCAACCAGGGTATTGTGACTGCTGGGCGCTGCTCTCTCAACCAGAGTACTGTGAGTCCTGGACGCTGCTCTCTCAACCAGAGTAATGCGGGTGCTGGACGTTGCTCTATCAACCAGGGAACTGTGTCTGTTGGACGCTGCATTCTAAAGCAGAGTTCTCTGAGTGCTTAACGCTGCTCTATCAACCAGAGTGCTGTGATTGCTGGACGCAGCTCTCTCAACCAGAGAACTGCGGGTGCTGGACGCGGCTCTGTCAACCAGGGTACTGTGACTGCTGGACGCTACTCTCTCAACGAGAGAACTGTGATTGCTGGACGCTTCTCTATCAACTAGGGTACTGTGACTGCTGGATGCTGCTCTCTCAACCAGAGAACTGTGATTGCCGGACACTGTTGTATCAACCAGGGCACGGTTACACTTGGGCGCTTCTCTCTCACCCAGAGCACTGTGAGTGCTGGACGCTGCTCTATCAACAAGGGTACTGTGACTGCTGGACGCTACTCTCTCAACGAGAGAACTGTGATTGCTGGACGCTTCTCTATCAACTAGGGTACTGTGACTGCTGGATGCTGCTCTCTCAACCAGAGAACTGTGATTGCCGGACACTGTTGTATCAACCAGGGCACGGTTACACTTGGGTGCTGCTCTCTCACCCAGAGCACTGTGAGTGCTGGACGCTGCTCTATCAACAAGGGTACTGTGACTGATGGACGCTGCTCTCTTAACCAGAATACTGAGAGAGCTGGACGCTGCTCTATCAACCAAGGTAAAGTGACTGCTTGACGCTGCTCTCTCAACCAGAGTACTGCGAGTGCCAGACGCTACTCTATCAACCAGTGTACGGTTACACCAGGACGCTGCTCTCTCAACCAGAATACTGTGAGAGCTGGACGCTTCTCTATCAACCAGGGTACTGTAACTGCTGGTGCTGCTCTCTCAACAAAGGAGTACCGTGAGTTGAAGATTGAGACACTTATGCAACGTATGGGAATCTTTATTAAGGAAACGTTTCGCCACACAGTAGCTTCATGAGTACAAAGTAGAAATGCGTAAAGAGAGGAGGAGTTTGAGGTAATCAGTCCCTCAGCCTGGAATCGGTGTGTTCTGTCAATTAATCTTGTAGAATGTGACATTCTACGAGATTGATGGAAAGAACAAATCGACTCCAGGCTTTGGGACTGATTATCTCAAACTACTCCTCTCCTTACGCATTTCTACTTTGTACTGATGAAGCCACTATGTGGCGAAATATTTCCTTAATAAAGATTCCCATATGTTGCATAAGTGTCTCAATCGTCAACTTTTCGGTTTTTCAAACAATTCATCACAGTACTGTGACTGCTGGACGCTGCTCTCTCAACCAGAGTACTGTGAGTGCTTGACGTTGCTCTATCATCAACGGTACTGTGACTGCTGGACGCTGCTCTCTCAACCAGAGTAATGTGGGTGCTGGACATTGCTCTATCAACCAGGGAACTGTGACTGCTGGACGCTGCTATCTCAAGCAGAGTACT